CCCTTCGCTGACTCAGCCACTGGGTTCCAGCAACACCACGAGCGTGTGGTGCGGCTCCGAGACGCATGGTGCAGGCTGGGGATGAGGTTTTCTGATCCCTGAAAGGTTTAACGATGTGATGTCTTTGACTGTGTCTAGTTCTGGGGCCCCAAACATCAGAAGGACATGGAGCTACTGGAGTCAGTCCAGAGGAGGCCACAAGGATGATGCAAGGGCTGGAGCAGCTCTGCTGTGAGGACAGGCTGAGAGAGTTGGGGCTGTTCAGGCTGGAGAAGGGAAGGCTCCAGGGAGACCTCCTAGTGGCCTTCCAGTACCTGAAGGGTGCCTAGAGGAAAGATGTGGAGTGACTTTTCTCCAAGGTCACATAGGGATAGAACAAGGGCTAATGGCTTTAAACCAGAAGAGGGCAGACTTAGATTAGATATTAGGAAGAAATTATTTCCTGTAAGGGTGGTGAGACACTGGAACAAATTGCCCAGAAAAGTTGTGGATGCCCCCTCCCTGGAAGTGTTCCAGGTCCGGTTGAAAAAAGTGGAAGGTGTCCCTGCTGATGGCAGGGGGGTTGGAACTGGATGAGCTTTAAGGTCCCTTCCAACCCAAACCAGTCTGTGACTACGATGGAGTCACCCCATCTGTCCAGGATTTGAAGGTGCTCCGCAAATCCTGTGATGACCCTGCTGTGGTGTGCTTCATCTCTTTCTGAAGAGACATTTTCCAGGCTCGATTCTAAAAATACATTTCCAGTTTTGCAATAAAAATCTACCGTGATGACTACGGCTACCTGCACGGTGTCTTTCAGCCTGGATTGGACCTGCTTGCTGTTGAATTAGACCAGATTTCCCGATCCGAGTCTTGGCTCGTGCAATCCCCGCTTCCCTTTCTGAAGAACACCGGCAAAGCGTGTTTGTTTTTAATTGCACTACTTGGCTTTCATAGAAGGGCTGTGATCGTCCTGGAAATGCAGCGTCCAAGGCTCTTTGGTGGCTGCAGGAGATCGCTTGTACACGTGCTGTCATTCCTCCTCTGAAAAAGATGTGGGGAAGCATCTCTGCGGGAGCTGTGGTGGCTCCTGTGACTCGTGTCAGGGGTCTTTGGCAAGTGTGGCCGCTGCAGGGCCAGCAGCAAGCCTGTCCCTTCCCAGGTGCTGCTTCCCAGGCAGCAGTAAGAGCTCAGGACCCCGTTTTCTTGCTGAGAACAGGATTGTGCTCACTGTGCTGTTTGGATGCTGTTTCCCATGGTAACGTACCCGGTGACACGAGCCGAGCTGGGGAAACACTGATGTGTGCTGCTGCCCAGGAAACAGCCGCTGCTTCGGCTCTGCTGGGTGCTACTGGTTGTCGGTCTGGTCCTGTCTCCCTCCTGAAAACAAAA